ATAACACTGAATAACAACACTTTCCCTTTTGTATAAACCCATAATATTTTCTGTTTGATTTGTGATATCTTTTCTGATATCTAAAGATTAAAAAAAAAGCAGAATAATGGTTAAGTACTCAGAAATATTTTAAGTAATGAACACCGATATACTTAAAACGTACATGTATTTTTAATAGGTAAAGTACATTATAAGATGTGTATCAGAATATGAGGCATAAACTAATATGAAATGTAAATTTTAAAAAGACAAAATATTCAGTGTGTTACAAAGGTAACAAATTATAAGTCACCTTCAAAATCTAATATTTTTCCCTTAGCACAGAATGCTGATGGATAAATTGAAAATTTTTATATTGTTAATGGTACATTTCATTGTTAATTATCTAACACAATTAAAAATTGAAAAATATTCCTAAAATTAAAAAGGTCACGTTAAATGTCAGGTTGATCACCCAGAACTCCTTGGTTGACTATTTTCTCTGATGATTTTTCAAAGTTAGATTTTTGATAATTTGCCTAGGAACATATGGCCTGTTGATTAGCTCCCACTGATGTTTCACCAGAAACATCATAGCTTTTTTGTAAACTATAGAATAGTTATTTTAAATAAAACTGAATAATACTGGTTTCCTTTTGAGGCTACATGTACATCATTTATTTTCTTGGATGCCACATTTTGGAAAAATCTCCAGATACACATTCACTTAAGTATTATGCAATATGAAGATTATAAACCTAATGTTATTAATAAATATTCATATTGAACTTTACATTTGTGAATACTTTTTTTCCTCATCATAACTGTGTAATTGAAGATGTAGCTTCATGATAATGAAAAGACCTAAGAACATATACTTCCAGTTCACTAACTAGATTAGGTTGGTTTCTCAGAATCATGTGTATGAAAAGTCAATATTTATGAACTAAATGAAACACTGTACTCTGCTGTTTCTAGCTATGTTGCAAAGTGTTGTGTCCTTTGAAATGCAAGAGATCCAAAATAACCAAAAGGATCTTGAAAAAGTAAAACACAGTTGGAGGACTCAGACGTCCAGATGGCAAAAAACAAAAACAAAACAAAAACCAAACAGTAATCAAGACCGCATGGAACTGGCTAGGACAGACATAAGGATGAATCAAATAGAATTGAGAGTGCAGAAATAAGCCTTTTCATTTACAGTCCACTGACTTTTAACAAAGGGGCCCAGTCAGTTCAAGGGGGAAAGAATAGTCTTTTCAACAAATGGCACTTGCACCACTGGATTTCCACAAGCAAAAGAATGAATTTGGACCTCCGACTTCACGCCACATATAAAATATAAGTTAAAGTGGCTCATAGGCATAAGTATAAGAGCAAAAACTATAAAACTCTTAGAGGAAAACACGAGAGTAAGTCTTTATGATCTTAGCTTAGGAAATGATTTTAGGCACATCAAAATCACATGATAAAAGACAAGATTGATTAGTAGGCCATCATTAAAATTAAAAACATTAGTACTTCAAAGGATATTATCAAGAAAGTGAAAAGACAACTCATAAGAAGGGAAAAAAATATTTGCAAATCATATATTTGATAAGGAATTTGTATGCAGAATATATAAAGAACTCCTACAACTCAATAACAAAAAGAAAATTAACCCAATTAGAAAAGGTGTAAAGAATCTGAACAGACATTTCTCCAAAGAAGATATACAAGTGGCCAATTAGCATAGGAAAGATGCTCGACGTCATTGTCTTCACAGTTATGCAAATAAGACCACAATGAGCTAACATTTCCTATCTATCAGGATGGCTATAATAAAAAAGATGGACAAAAATAACAAGTGTTATTGTTATATTGTTATCGCTATTAGGCTGTGAAGAAATCGGAACCCTATGAAGGTTTCGAATGTATAACATTGCTGGTGGGAATATAAAATGGGAAGCCACTTGGGAAGTAGTTCGGCAGTTTTTAAAAATGTTAAACTTAGAGTTACCGTATATCCCAACAATTCTATTCTTAGGTATATACCCAAGATAATTAAAAACATGTTCACACAAAAACTTGTACATGAATGTTTATAGCAGTGTAATTTATAAAAAATAGAAACAGTCCAAATGTCCATCAACTCATGAATAAACAAAATGTATATCCATATAATGTGATACTATTCAGCCATAAAAAGGAATAAAATACTGATATATGCTACAACATGGGTGAATCTTAAAAATATTATGCTAAGTGAAAGAAGCCAGTCACAAAAGACCACATATTGAATAATTCTATTGTATGAAGTGTCCAGAATTGGCAAATCTACAGACAAAAAGTAGATTAATGACTGCATAGGTCTGGGAGGTAGGGGTAGGGGTGGGTGAGGAGTGATTGCTAATGGGTATGGTGTTTCTTTTGGGGATGATTAAAATATTCTAAAATTATGTTATGGTGACTATATAACCCTGTGAATACAGTAAAAGCCATTGATACTTTAAATGAGTCAACCTGATGGCAGGTAAGTTGTATCTCGATAATGCTGTTAAATTTTTTAAAAAATGCTTTGTTCTGTGTAGTAATAAAATATTTTTCTGAAATATAAAAACATAGTTGTCTTAATTCTTCCCTAGGATATCGGGGATAAATTTTTATGTATTGTATATATCATCGAAGGCAAATAAATGATTAGTGCTGAAAAGTCACCCTTTGTATATTCATCTGCTGTTGGTAGTGGAGCTCATTTTTAATGTCAGGTTGTACCTGGCATACTTTAATTTGCTTTGGCTGCTTCCTAAAATGACCACCCCTCTACTGCCCACTTTCTGCCATTAAAAATAAGAGATCACATAATTATTTCTTCAGTATGTTCATTTTACACATCAGAATGAAAGTAGGTTAAAGATCTGTCCCGTAGATTATATTCCACCTCCTTATTTCTTAGTTACAAGTCTTAGTCATAAACTAGCTATGCAAATCAAAATGTAAACCTCTAGTATTTTCATATTGTTCATGGTGGAACTTGTCCAGATCCACCTACAAGAGCTTTTTCTATTCGTGGTATATTGAGAAAGAGCTACATTGGACTAAACATGAAAGAGCTTTTATGGCAACTTAAAAAAACTTACTATCACTTGCAGTACTTACAACTTATTCTCAAGAAAAATATTTTGACTCACAATTTTTAATCTTGGGACTTATAGTTATCAATATACCTTATGTGCCTGAAACATGTTCTTCACTAGCCAGAATCTCACACCTCACTCTAAGAAATGCAGACTAGTTCAAATTTAACCTGAAAAGAACATAATTTGGAATCTGCCATTAAAAAATATATTATGCATTTTGAATAAAAACAAATCACTGATAAATATGTTTCTTGGGATTATTGGTACATTTCTGTATTAGTATATTTTAAAAGATTATCTTTTCTCCCCTCAAGTCTCTGTTCCACTCATTTTCATTCAGTTCCACAATTTTTTCTTTTTCCAAGAAACCAGAAATCTTTACAAAAATATCTTACTTCCCTTTAAATATCAAGACAAGAAGAAAGGGAAGCTCAGTGACCCTAAATTATATGCTACCAACAGGCATTAAACATGCATAAACTTTTTAAGGGGTGCCAGAATTCACCAGGATGGAGAAAAAAGAACAATGAAGGTTTCTGAGTAGCTCTTCATTATTCTGTTTAAGAATACTAAGCAATTTTAACATTATCCACAACACATCGCTTATATACTGAGAGAAAAGTTCTTTATCACTTCAGATGTTACTAATCCAAGTTTACAATCCCTTATCTGAAACACTTTTGGCCTGATATTTTTAAGAATTCAGAACTTTTACTAGAAAGGTGTGTTTGCCATATATTATGCAACACCTCCAGCAAGGGCTAGAGCTGCACTGTAATCAAAATATTAATATTTCTGTAGAAAACTTATGAATGTTCACATCAAGTGACTATTCAGTTATATATAGCCTCAGTTCCATTCAGGTCAAATTTTACTACTAAGGAAGTTAGGAAAAGACAGATAAAGGATTAGGACCTGTAATGACAAGTTAATTTGAAATCCAGTTCTTTATATTTGACATCTAATTCAGAGCCACTGTAAATTATCGGTATTTTCTTTCACACACACAAAAATAGACAGTGCATTTACAGTGAAACAGTACATTTAATTTCAGGAGGTAAATGTAAAATAGATTAACCTGTGAAACTAAATTAACTACATTATGATCTACCTCTAGAACTTGCCTAGCTCCACTCTGGTTAAAAACTCCATTTCTTGGCGTTGTAGTAAAACATCAGAACAACCCCAAACTGGCAGTGCGAACATCCCGACAGGCTTCAAGGACCTTGTACAGCTTGAAGACTTGTAGAAGGGTAGTAAGGCCTGGGATGGTGCAGAATGAATGCCGCAGCATGTATACGCTGGGCAAACCTCAGCCTCTGGATGAAGTAAAAGAGAGGTCAAGTCGGTGTCAGTGTGATCAGTTTTATTGCCAGGACATAGGGTGAACAAGATTTCTTTAAAAGCCATTGGAATAACTCCTTGATTCCGGGCTGCGAAAAAGATCGCACTGGGAGGGGAGGAGCGGCTGGTAAACCAGAAGTGGGGCTAGAAGAGGAAGGGAAATAGGGCGTCCAGGCTTGCATAAGCTGGGTGAAAATGGGTCTGTGCCATCGTTCCTGCAACCATCCGGGAGGGTTAGTACCCGAGTGTGCGGAGGGCAGCCGCGTCCCGAGCCTGGGCGCTGTGCCTACCTGCAGCAACTGCTGCCCAGCACATTTCCGACCGTTGATCTGGCGTCCTGCGAGCCTTTTCCAGGCCCGCAGCCGGAATCGAGCGCCAGCACAGGATGCCTGTGCGAGGCGGGGCCAGGTCCGAACAGCGCGCAGGCCCAGCGCGCCCCCGACTTCAAGTACGGGGTGGGACCCTCGTGGCTTTCCGTCCATTTCTCGGTTCCTTGGCCGCCTTAAGAGAGTGGGCCCGCAGAACTGTCGGCTGCGGCGGTGGGGGCGCAGCGTGGGGTGAGGACCAGCTGGCGCGGAGGCTGCGCTCTCTTCTTCCCGTAACCCGCCGCGGGTGGGGGAGAGTTTAGTCTTGTAGAAAGGCGGAGACGCCAGGACTTGGGGGAGGATGTCAGGTTAACAGACATCTTGCCTACTGGGGTCGGAGAGGTACCCCTGTCGTTGGGCCGCTTGGCTGGCGGGTCGTGATGCTTGGTTGGGTTTCTTTCACTTATTGGTCTCTCGAGTGTGCATAGCTGCCCTTGGACTGGTGCGAGGAGCCTCCGAGCTCTAGACGCCCTCGGCGCCGCCTGTTCTAGACCCAGATTTAGAACTTCTTGTTTCCCTGCGACAGGGCACCGGCATCAGATATCCGGCCACCGGGAGATTCGTTGTAGCCCGTGGACTTGTCTAATGGAAGGGAGTGCGGTTGTCCGAAACTAGGATTAACTAGTTTCGGACAACCGAAATTTGTATACAGCTTTCTAGCAGATGGAGTTTTTGCACGTATTTGCTGTGATTTCCCAAAAGTTTGAGTCTTGGGGTTTCCCAACCTGTAGATTGTCCTCCACCTTTCACCAGTTTTTGTTAATCC